TTATAATCAATTTTACGGCACAGTTCACTTCAAAATTCTTGTTGTATGTCTTAAACCTGGGTGATTCATGGAGTTTCTCTACTAACAACCAGCTGCATACTTCAAATCTTACTGGAACCAAAGCCTTGCATTTACAAGGACATGTCCCTTAGACAACAATTCACACAAAAACTAATGCAGCCACTACTTGTGATATAACAAAAGAAGGATTCTTATGCTGAGGCTTTGGTGGTTCCTGTATCAGTACAGGATGGGGGTTTGATTAACAGTCAATTCGCATCTTTCCTACAAGTGAAATTTTCTCTAAAAAAAATCAGCCTGTATATGTCTCACTTCAGCAAACTGTTGCATCTACATGATGACCTTGTAACAAATGTGTGGGACACTGGAGAAGCATTTTTGCAACCTCAGCATAATTTTGTGATTTTAACAGTTTATGAACCGTTGGGAAAACGTTGTATCCCTAAACGAATGCTATTTGTTATTAACTTGTTATTAGTATTATGTCTTGAATAGGTTTAAGGTGATTATACTTTCAGCTGGTAATCAAAGTCAACCTGTGTAATACATGACCCCTGGGTTCAAACGATTGAAACTTATTAAAATACCACAGCCAAGAGTTGCAAAAATGTAGTTTACTGGTTAACAATATTATTTAACAATACTGCAGACTTATGTAGCTGTATGGTAATTTTATTGGCATAAGACGGTAATTCTTGGGAAGAAAAAAAGATTTTACAGTTATAGGACAGAATGATTTCCGATTTTGTTTTATTAACATTATTTGTAATTTTCTCAGATCAACACATTGTGGTCCAGTGGTCACGTTTATGCCATTGATCTACTTCATGATCTTTAAAACCAATTCTCAATTAAAGCTCTTACTGATTACCAGTTTGTAAAACTATAATATCACCCAAGAAGACTAAACTTCAGATTTATTCAAAATAAAACAGGAAAACGTGGAATGTTAGCTTGCCATCTGTTTTCTTGTAGCTCAATCTTCGTTTCAGGATGTAGAAGTTGTCTTTGTCCCATTCTCATAATAAGCTATTGTAAATAATATTTATTTCCTATATTTGTTCATCCTTAAGTTATGAAGATGTATCTGTAGGGTGTTTTTGTAGGGTATTTGTGGGACTTTCCTCCAAAGCTTTTTGAATGCATCCTGTCTCCTTAAATATACTGTGCTGTTTCAATGTCATAGTTTAAACTCAAATCCAAATTCTCAAGTAGCATGTAAGGTTTTGCCCAAAATATACAAGTAAAACAAAAAAAAATTAATAGGAACTAGAGATAAAGAGGATTGATTTCAAAGATGCAGCATCAAAATTTCATTATTTTACAAGACGTATTTATATTTTCTTTTTATACCAGTGCAAAATTACACATCAGTCAATGCACACAGTTTCAATACATTTCCCAGTTATTTCTTGACTTGTTACTGACTGTGTATTTGTCGGTGGTTTTAGGGAAGTGGGTAAGCTTGATGCACCAATTTGTGAGTTCTTCTTCATACCCTGTGTACTTTCTCCATTATGACGGGCTGAACCTTGACCTGCCTGAAAGTGACTGGTATTAAGTAATGGATTTGTGTTATTAATCTCCATTGGTGATGATGTATTATATAGATCATCCACTGGTTTAATGTTTGGGCTTTGGTTATTTGTCTCAGGGCTAGTACTCCTGTGTACTGCAGAGGACACAGGTCTGGTAAACTGCATAATGCTTTGAGTAGTTGTTGTGGTGTAATGAGAGACAGGTGTCTTGACAGAATCGGCAGATACATCGGAGCTGTTCAATACATCAGCTTCCTGTAGATTCTCAAGACCAAATGATCTTAGGATGTGATTATGAACATACCAACGAAGCCTGTCAAATCTTCTTTCTTTTGTGGCAATGTTCTGTATCTTTTTTTCAAGTTGCCGTTTAGAAATTGGGCTTTTTTCATCAACTTCCTCGTCAGTGATAGCTCTACCCAAACATTTTGATGTCCACTGTTTTCTGAATTGGCTGATTAACTTGTTAAGGCCTGCTGTGTTTCCATGAATCAGCTTAATTAATTCTGGCATGGCTGTAAAGCATAAATAAAAACTAAGTTAGTTCCTTATCCTATAACTGGATATTCCATATTTAGGAACAAACTGTGTTACTAGAGACCTTAAAATTTTTTTTCCACCAGTGGAAGATGTTACTATGAACATAACTTAGTTCCAAGTCTAACACTTTTTTTTTCTTTTTTTCTGCTTGAAACAATTGTTTATTGTGCCTAAGTAACCTTAGACTTCTCCATTTATATACAACAGTGGTATTTGCCACTGATGCGTGATCACAGGTCGGCAGATTCTTCCTGTTGTTTTCAACTGTTTCATCTGTCCTGAAACAAGGCATATGCAATGTCTTAGACAGCACGATGCAGTCTTCCAATATTTGTAGCATTTGTTCTTGGATCCTTGTCTTTACTAATGCTATCCAACTCAACTGAAATATTTAGTTTAGACTTTCACCTTGACCACATCTCACTCCCAGGAGGCAGTTAAGTGATCATTTCTTTCCAAACTCTATGACAGTGTATGTATGGAGGAAATGTATCGGAGATATAAGGTATGATTCAGAAAATTAAAGACACGTTACCTTCATCAGGTACATAAAGACCTCCATTGTTCGCAGTGCTCGGTGAATCAACAGGGACCTCAATATTTTTTAGGTGAGATGATGGATTCTCACAATCTACTGGTGCATCAACAAGTAAACATGCAGCAAACTGCTTAAGTGTAAGGTTCAGAGAAGCCTCATCAAGCCACAGGCACCCCACTGTTACTGGCTTCATTGGTTTGCATTTCCTTTTCATTTCTGCTTCCCAAGCCTTAGCTTTTGCCAACTGCTGATCCTCTTTATTTCCTGAATTCTTATCCTGCAATTGGAAAATAAGTAATAGAAACCAGTCCGTTGCATATATGAAAAGTAAAAAGCAAGGTCATTTTGACATTATATTCGTCTATGAAACAGTATAATTATGTAACCATGCACTCACTTAATTAGACTGATGGAATATGTCAAAGAAAATATTTTATAAGTATCGGATTTGTTAAGTGTCAATTTTCTTTGTTTCCTTATTCCTATTAATTACCAGTAATTTGGGTTAAGAGATAAAGGAAATTGAGACACAACAGATGTACTGTTATTTTAGAGAGACAGTCAGTGCTATCTGGGCAAAACATTTTTTGTTATTTAAGGAAGCATGCATTGCCAAAACATTAGTCTTTTTTTTTTTTCGACAAAGATTTAAAACTTACTTGACAATGTTGAACAAAAAAATCAATGTTATCAAATATTCATTAAATCTGTCATATCTCACCTTTTTGTCAGATTCACCATCATCTTCCATCTCTTCATCCAGCACCCCTTCATCATCTGACAAGTAACCATGAGGAACAAAGAACCCATCATCATCTTCATTATCTTCTTCACCATCAGCTTCTTCTTCGCCCTAGAAAAAAAAACCCTTTCCCAATGAACACAACTACACTTGCTCCCAACTGCACTGTATACCCGTCTGGTAATCCTTTGTTTTCTTAAAGCGGAAGATTTCTTTAAACTAACGATCAGTATAAGATACAAAGAAACTCACGTCTGATAGCTACCTGTTGGCAGATTTGTGGTCAGGCTGGTGGATACAATCCCTTGCTTATATGACCAAGGGAATATTCATTGCTGTTTTATTGTACAGTTTAACCAGGCAGGGGGGGGGGG